CAAGGATTTGTCTATTAAACCATAACTGATTTTCACAAATACCTTATCAAGCATCCCCTTTACTTACACAAATACAGGTTTCTACTGGTTTCATTCAAATAACTGTTTTTGTGTAGAATCTATTATGCAAATGGTTTAGTTGATTTAAAATGTGTTGTTTTAATATTTCCCTGGGAAGACATGCTTCCTTCAATAAAAGTAGTGTGGATTTTCAGTTGAAATAATATAGAAACTTTTTAGAATTAGAAACTGTCACATATTTTAAATAAATATATTTCTCTAAGAAATTTTTCTCATCAACTCCCAATTAAATTCCTCTTGGGCTGAAGCCTAAGTACTGATTACTGATGCTGGAATGTGTTTTCAGATTATTAAAAGTATCCAAGGTAATAAAATCTTGAGAGACATCTAAATAAAGTAATAAGGACAGTGATGCCTCCACTTAACGCACAGACAAGAGGCAGCATTACAAAAAGTGCAGTCCCCATAATGCCCTACCAGTGACCTCCGTGCTGACCTGCAGAGACCACTGTCTCAAGGGGTGACAGACAATTTAGTTCTTTATCCTTTTGTCATTGAGAATGACTCCACTGTCATAAATTCTAATCAAGTCAAACTGGATGGCAATTTAAAAAAAAAAATCTTATAATACATGTTTCTGTGAGAAAGAACAAAAAAGGAAAGGATGAGAAAACCTCTATACATTTTCTAGTAAAGAAGAATCACTGACCCAACTTTCAACCTTTTTCCAATAGTTAACAGATAAATGACATTGAAAATAGTCACTCTTACAAATATCATTGCATGCAATTTCTTCTAACCTAGAAAATCACAATTACATAAAGGCAAACCAACCACCACTTTTTATTTCAGGTACACTGTTTATCAATGGTTTTTTGTTTACATTGCAGTGCAAGGCTTTAGAGCCCTGCGTCCAATTCTCCAGCAGTGTAGTACAACTGAGAGCAAGCCACAGAGACTAGCCCGGCCACCCAGGGAAGTTGGTGCTTTGTGAAAAGCAATCGTGAGGTTTAACTTGAAACAATAAAAATATACTCAGGAGGGAAGCTGTTAATAAATCACCTTTCAGATTTCAAATATATATGGGAGAAAATATTTAGGGCATGTTTTATGCGGTCTCACTTCTTCCACTGAGACTGTATGAAAAACTTTAGTACAGATATTTTTCTAGGGATGTATATTACTTTCATCCTTCCTGGCCACTTCCCTGACCACGTTGTTGATGCTGCCATTTGAATTTTAGCATCCAACTTGACCAAACATGGAACAGTGAATTCTTGATGGGCTTAACTAAAAATGAAGCACCACATTGACACGAGTGCTATAAATGTCACTAGAGAAACACAGCAACCTCTTCCCTTGGAGATTGTTTGCCAAAGGCCAGTGCTGAGAATGGTTTCCAATGTGTACATCACTAGTCACATATTAAATGACTGTGTGACATCACTCATTTGATCACATAGCTGAAGCACAGTGACACACAGAGCCCGATTCTCTGATAATATCCCAGACATGCAAGTCTGCTCTACTCCATACTGTGTCTGTGGCTCAGAGTTTACCATAATACAGTCATGAAATGGAAAGGGAGGTAGTTATTCCACAGGCGCTACAGGAATAAATAATGCACTGCTTAATGTTATCACAGAGAACGATGAAACCACATATCTCAATGAAATGTGGATTCATCTCTCCTAAGTGTACTTTAGTTTCCATGACTGTTCAAGTTAAGCAAAACATTACCTCTGATGTAATTACTTTATAAAACACAGGGGTCCTTTTCTAAACTTTTTATTCAGGCTGGCATATGCTACTGGCTACTCCTGGCATTCTGGGATGCTCAGAGTACGGAAGCCCTCTGCACAGTATGTTTGGATGCCGTTAAGTGCAGACGTGCAATTTAAGGAGAAGGATAAAAGGCCCAATGTTTCCTGGAATTTCCTTTGTTTATCCATAGAGGGCATCAGTATTAGCTTTTCTCCTGCAGTTTTGGGCTATAGGTGCCATACTGTGAGAGAAACAGACTTGTCCTCTGGACTGCTAATTTGGACAAGACACAGAAGGGGCAACACAATCCAAAGAGATCCATTTATATTGAAATTTCAGGTACAATAAAAATCTCAGCTCTTCTCATCTCTGTTGTTGGTTGGTGCCTCCATGAAGGTAAACATATCAAGATGTACAGGAATTTCTACTGTGTGCCGTTCTTTATAGAAAGAAATACAGTTTTCAATAAGATGATATATATTTATAAGAACGATGGTCTGAGAGAGCATGTTAAAAATCAATGTTTAGAGATAAACCTGGATGTTCTCACTCAGGAAGTATGCAATTCTTCATTATCAAAGAGCATAATCGAAACCACACATAAAAACCAGAAAGTTTGACCATATTCATGTCAAATAAAATAAAGCGCCTTTAAATTATCAGTCATTAGTGTTGCCTAAGTTGTTAAAATTTCTGGGACAGAATTATTCTAAGAAGTTTTAGTCATTTACATAACCTAGAATTCCTAAGTCTAAATTCCAGTGATATTAAGACTTGAGAGCACAAAAAACCCAAGAGCTAAGGAAATCCTAAGACAACATTGGGTGCTTTCCTTCAATGTGTTTTCTGTTCTCTCTCTCTCTCTCTCTCTCTCTCTCTCTCTCTCTCTCTCTCTCTCACACACACACACACACACACACACACACACACACACACACACACACATTGTCTCCAATTGTTTTCTCAAGTTTTCAAAATTGTTCATCTCCTTATTTCTTTTTTACCTAATTGGAAACAATGAAATATTTATATTGTGTTTGAAAAGCACTCTGGAGACTAAATAAAACTAAGTGAATACAGAAAGAATATTACATATTACATATAAGACTCAGATTTTGCTGGGTTTTCTTTAACAAAGCCAAAAGTTGAGAATTCAAAAGTGAAGTTGAGTGACTTTTAAACCCTGCTACAGTTTCTAATCTAAACTGTGATTCCTTAATGTACCCCACATAGATTCCTATTAAACTACAGTTTCAACTAACTTTTAATTCAAGTTTCTCTGATCCTTTTGAATTTTTTAATCTTGTTTCTGTACACATGCAAATTAGAAAAGGCAGCATAACAAATCTAAAACAATTTTCAGCATTGGAAAAATCTAAATAACTGTTGAGAAACTAAACACCCCTCCATTGTTTACTAAAAAATGCAAGTAAAGCTGAAATGTACAAAACACAATTTTAAAATACACCCAAAGTTATGGAACAAAAATTCATTACCTGCAGTTATGTGAAAATCACAACTGATTACTTTTTAATAGTCAAAGTGCCTTAGATTAGCACATTCAACATCAATAAAGTTGCAGCTTAGATTTTGCCTTCCTATAATTTTGCGTGACTTCCCTTACTAACCCCTTAAAATGAAACAAGTGTTGTAGGACATATTTCCTCCTCTAAACTAAAAACTTAGACAACAACAAAATATTTCTTCACTTGATCTTGGCCACAAGGCTGAGAAGCGATTACAACAAAATATTTCTTTAGACTGAAAATGCTAACACCTTATTGCCTAGGTTTAGAAAATTTATGTCAGAGGTAGAATTGCTGCTTTTCAAAGAAAAGGTAACTAGACAAAATTTCTCAAAACTGCAATCTCTTATACACTTAAATACATAACAGCATCTTATTGGTAGAAAATTTGAAACAGAAAGTTTCTCAGAAATACCCACTAACGTTTGATGGAGTGAACATTTAAAACCAGAGGAAATTACCTTGTTGAAACTGGCCTAGAGTTACCAGACTAGCAAAGATGCTTGTTACTGGTTTAAAAAAAAAAATGAAGCTTATTTTTTAACTGAATGAATGACTTTGTTAAGAAAGCAGTCTATGCAATTATGTTGTTTTTCTTTGAATTTCAGGAACACAGACTGTTTTTAAGTAGAGACCAAGCAATTACCTGGTGAGTATGTGTAAACAGGGTAGAATGTATTTCATATATACAGATATGTGTGTGTATAAACACACGTATGTTTAGTGTTACAAATATACAAACATTTGAAAATAATTAAAAGCAAGTGTTTTAAGAGTAACTGTTTTTAAAGACCTCGTGTCACCGTGCCATAAAGTGCTTCTCCCGCAGAGACATCCATGACCATCCATCACTCAGTCACGCACCTCAACAACCACCGCTCCCCTTTCTGATTAGAGATCACAGTTGCTTGAGTTGGCTTACAGAGTGTCATCTGTTTGAATGACAGATGTCTTTGCTGAAGTGGCACTCTGCTTGTTCTTGTTTTGTTTATGAAACAAAGATTCCTAAAAGGTCCTGGGCTGCCTGCATATTTAGTAGGCGGCTAAAATATCTTTTAAAGAAGACAGGGACAGAGAAGGGAGGCAAAATACCTATTTTTCCTCTCTCATCGCCCTTTCAGGAGAAGAGCTATTCATTCTAATTATGATTACAAAATGTTATTTCTCTGAGCCATTCCGTGGTCACCTTTTTTACCTGACACTGAATTACTTGCATTGATATTTTTTCTGTTTCCTTCTGCTGTCTTTTTAGTATAGACAATAACTCTTTACTCGCCTTCCCCTTAACAAAAGGCAGGGAAGCAACCCGAAACCAAGTCGATACTTATTCAATAAATGTTAACCAATTTTCACAATGGAGCTGATTTCCTGATTATTCTTACCATCTTCTTTTATATAATATATATATATATATATATATATGTATATAATTTCTAGCCTGGGGACTCCAGCAACATTTGACAAGTCAAAATGAGCAGTGGGGAAGTTCCTTGTTGGGAAAACTTTGGAGGACATCCTCCTGGCCAGCTGGACTCGGCTTCGGTGTCTCAACACCTCCAAGAGGGGAAGCTCCTTTTTAGTACTTACAAGAAAATTGAATGAACAACAGGGGGAAAAAAGGGGGAGGGGGGTGGATTGCTCTTCCGGACAACATGGTAGGACTGAAATGAAATACCTAGACAGACTTACCGAAGAGCTTGCTGGGAGTGTCCTCGCTGTCATTTGATTCCACAGGCGCAAGCAGGGGCTCATTCAGCTCGCTGTCTGAAGTAGCAGCCGTGTCCTCACCTCTCAACTCCGCATTCATTTCACTCCGCACTGACAGCAAGGGCTTACTGACTTGTCCAGCTATCATTGGATCCTAGGATGCGGGAAAAGAGTGAAGGGGAGGAAAAAAAGTGGCAGCTTTAGTGTGCGTGTCCTCTCTCTCCCTCTCCCTTCTGTTCTCTCTTCCACACACACACTCTCCCTCTCTCCGCTCTCTCTTATCTCTGGCTGCTCCCGCTGTTATTGCTGGCTGCAGTCAAGTGAAGAGCTATTACAGATCCGAGGAGTTCTCCATTACTCCCCACCCTATTAAAGCTCAACTAGCATGTGAGAGATTCAGGAGGCTTCCGAGGGGGGAAAAGAAAGTTCTTTGAAAGCAGCCTAACCAACACAGCTTTAATTGTGGGGTGTGCTTTTGTGCCAATGTTTTTACACCTTGTTCTGTCTTTAACGCAGCAAGAAAAACGAAAGTGCCGGGCTTGTACTTCAGCATCATACTGAAAAGGAAGGAGCACCCTATGGAGGAACCACCGGCTATTTTAAGAAGCCCTCTCCCTGGGGGAGAGACAATTAAACCTTGTCCTGAGAGCAGAAAAAAGAGATAGGGAGAAAAGCGTTCTCCACTCGCTGTCAGTGGAATGAAAGAGATTTCTTATGTAAATTCTATAAGCACCATTAGAAGTTGACTTCCTTGGTCCCACATTTGGGACAGAAAGTGACCCCAAATCAAATGAACAGTTACAAGCAAACAATACACAACAAAATATATGAAAATCGGTTTAAAAAAATTAAAGGAAGTGGAAAAATACTTACAAACTGTGTTCAATAATTCAGATGCCTAGAGCATCATACGCCCAGAGCATTAAAGAAAAAAAAAAAATCACCGCCAAAAAAGACAAACTTTCCCCCCTAATAATTTAAATCTGTCTTATCTTCAGCTCGTTAGGAGGGCATTTTAGGCTTCCAAGTGTCGTCTTTTATTCCATTTGCAAACTAAGGTGCATAGTATTGTTTGGCACAAATATCGATGCTGACAAAAAAGAAAAAGCAAGAAGTGCCTTTTTTGCGTTATCTGGGAGCTATTTATTGCCAGTTTCATGCCTAAATGGTTCCTGAGCAGGAAACAGGTGACCAGCGCAGGAGCAGGTGGGGCGACATGCTCTCTTGTCCCATCATTACATTGGTTGCGGTATGCCTGTGGTTATTTTTTTTAATGTATTCATGCCTGAAAAGTGAATTTGATATGACACATGATAATCTATGAAAATGTTAATCAATACAAATAGTTTAAGCTGTCATCAAATGCACTTCTTTAGTCAATACTCATACCACTGAAAACAATGTCACTGTCACCAGGGCTTAATTTGCACAGCACTTAAATATTGGACTCTGTGCATCAATGCACTTCTTCTTCAAATACTGTAGGTAAACACATTTTCTCCCTATTTAAGGCTGAAGCACTCAGCACGCATTTAGCTGAGCTGAATCCTCCCTTTTGAATACCTTGATAGGTCCACTGGAGGGCAAAATTAATACTTAATTGAATCTCACAGTCATCAAAATAATCAATACTTTTTTATTATTTATTCTTTACAGTCTGTTGACTGTTTCAAACCTCTGAGGGAATGGTGGAAAGGATTCATGGCTTTGAAACACTGTCATTTAACAAGGTAATTTTCAGTGGGGCATTAGAGGTTGTGAAACATATAATAAAACAAAAATGGTGGCTTATAATAGGAAGAAAGAAAAGAATTATATTTCTGCCATCTAACAAAACAGGATAAATAAAAAAGCAAGTACAGAGAGAGAGCGAGAAAGGAGGGGGGCAAGGGAGAAAGACTGGCTTTTGAAGGGTTTTATCATATCAAGAGCAGAGGCGAGCTTTCATAATGCTGACATTTCTCATCCTGACAATCCTAAACAAGTGGAAAGGATGGGATCGCAGATATCATCTTTCATCACATTCTCCAGCTTAAGAACCAACATGACAGCTCCTCTCCCCTTTACACTGTTAATTACTAAATAAAATACTGCTCTCTGGCAGCATCAGATTATTGCAGATAGCAACCACAAACATTTCTCCATTGTTTCCCCCCTCTGAAACTGTGATACCTACCATGAACTCTTTAAAAAATAAATTAGGCTAGTCTCACCATATTGTAAATATTTGAAATGTAATCAATGTAATCAATGGGATCAATTCACCGTATTGTCAGCCTAAATTTGCTGGTGATAGATTAGCATTTCATTTACCGTGTTCGGTTGCTGTGCTTTGGAGCACTTACTTTTGGGGTGGGAGGAGGGTGTGGAGAGACATAAGCAGAGGCAGAGGAGACACAACATTCTCAAAAGGTCCCCCAATTCCTTTCCTAGGTATATCAAAGGGATGTTTGAATTTTTCTGAGTCTGTTAGGGGAAAAGGGGGAAGAAGGGCAGGAAATGCTGCTTTACCTTGTGGCTTGATAAATACACTCTTCACTTAAAAAAAAAAACCCAGGTTAAATTCTAGTTCATTCTTTTTACTTTACGAAAGGTAACTATTCATTCTCTCTAATCTAAGCAACGGGAACCATGCCTTGTGCTTTGAGTGATCCATCTGCTGTGGCCACAACACCCATCTGAGCATTTTTAAGGTAGTGTTCATGGTAAACTAATGCTGAAATGGCATTCACTACCCTTATGATAAGCCAAACGTGGTTATATGTTAACAGACATGTTAACAAACATGTTGATATGTCCGTGAGTAGTTAGGTAGACTTAAAGAGCCCTTCATTCTTGCTCGCTTGAAGCTGAACTCTGAATCACATAGAGGAGCTGAAATGCAGATACTAACTTCAAGTGCACTTAAATCTTTAAGATGTTCAGTTTGGCTGAAGTGTCCAAAGTATGCAGTGGTAGATGACCATTACCTCTTCTTATTTAAATCAGTTTTAACTACCTCCTGCATGGCCAGGTCCCCAGTTAGTGTTTCTTAGTGATTTTCACCTAGAAAATTTTAAAGTTTGTCTTTCAAGTTCTCATTTGATTTTCACCTTACAAAACATTTTTCATTTTCCATAATGCAGCTGTAGCCTACATACATGTGTGCGTGGCATGGTTAAACAGCAAATCCCCAGTGAGGCAGAGAGCAGACAGCTTTTAATCACAGCTGCAGTCACTGGGGGGTCCATTTGAAAATGTGTCACAAGCAGTAACCACTGAGTACAGTCTTATAAGTGATGAGGGAGTGCTTCTTTCATGCAGCACTCAGGTTGGAAGCCATTCTCTCCCTGCCAAAACTGACAACAGTCTGTTAATACTTTCTGCCAGGTGAAGAAAAAAAAAAAAAAAAAGGATTTTCCAGCATGCACCTACCTAGGTGCTTGCAGGATTGTAACAAAGTTGCAACTTCAACAGTACAGGGACTACTGCAGCAGCAAACAGGAAAAGAATAAGCTAGTGCAGGCAGAAAATAGAGTTGGTGAAGTCTTTTTACTTAAAAATCTGAAATTGTTACAACTACAATCAAAGAAATTGGAACTTCTCAGCAATTTGTTTATCAGCCTTGACAGGAGAAAGTCACTGGTCAGATATGGAATAGTACTAAGTGTGTGCAAGTATAGGACACAGCAAGTCCCAACAGGGAACATTCACAAAGGTCATCAGTGACCCAAGAACAAGATGTTGAAAAGATGAAGCAGGAGAGGTTGTTATTTTAGTAAAATCTCAGCAAAACTTTTACCACGTCCTATAATGAATATCATAACTACACAATAATTATTTAAAACTCCTTCAGACATTCCTAAAGAATAAAATAAATCCTGGGTCTCCCCTGGTGGTGCAGGCAGTTGAGAGCAGCGCTGTGAAGCTGTCCGCAGCCTCTGCAGCGCTGGTTCGATCCCGGCAGGCCGGCCAGGGTCCCACATGGCGCGGCAGACCTCTCCTGTCTCGCCCGCTACTCCCCTCAGCAGTGTATTTCTTCAGTCTGCCTGCTCTGTTCCCCGCTCTGTCTCTGGTGAATCCTCTCACCCTCCTGCAAATCTGGCCTGTGCCACAGTTCTTTTATAAATAAATAAATAAATATTTTAAAAAAAAAAGAATAAAATAAATCCCCTTTACTAAACTCCTTTACCAGATAGGCATTTACATGTATCTAATGTCACCCTAACCATGCAAGGTGTTAACCCCATTTTAAGGATGAAGGACTGAGACAGAGGCTAAGTGACTTATCACAAAGTCAACAAGTGGTGAAACTGTCTTTGAAACCCTTATAGATCCATCTGCAAAGATCAGTGTCTTTGTATATTGCACAGAAGGCACTGAGTGAAAAAACCCAAGGTTCATGGACTTAGTTCCCTATGGGGTTTCCCAGAACCTGAATTATAGACTGTGAAGGGTGTTAAGTCCTGGGTAGCTGATTCCCAGAACATGCTGCATATAGCATCTTCTACCTTTCAGACTCTAGGGACAAAACACTTCTCTATCCAAAGCTGCTTGAGTGAAATCTGTGCAGCAATGTAGTATAGTAGACAGAACATCCTGTAGCATCAAATAAAGCCTGGGCTTTCCTTTTATATATTAAGGTTCATTCTCCACATAAATATAGCAAATCACTTAAACATGTTCACCCTTGGTTTTCACCTCTAGAAAATGAAAAGACTAGAATGACATAGTATTTCCCAAAGCACATTCCATAGAACACTTGTCTCAAAAAATATTTTACAATAAAAGAATTTTGCTATCATACCCGTGTGAAAATGCAACAGAAAAGTCTATCAGGAATGAAACCAATTCAGTTCTGCTTAACTCACTATTTCCCAAAATCACCTGGCTTTAAAAACTTATAATCTTTATTATATTATCTAGTGGATCGAGTGATTCTTAAAACTTAGAATGTGCCCACTTATATTACAACTAATATAAATTAGCTAATGTTAATTAAATCTCTAATTTCTAATTTTAACTTTTTATTTTTTTTACAGATTTATTTTTATTTATTTATGCATGCAAGAACTGGGGTATAGGCCAGAGGTACAGGGGGTGAGAGGATTCCCAGAGACAGAACAGGTCTCTGGGAGCAGAACAGGTGAATCTACTGAAATATACTGCTGAGGG